TAGCTTTCTACAGCCTTACTCATTTAGGTTGGATTTAAAGAAAGTATTTTTGAACCCAAGGATCGGATCTAATCATAAGTATTGTCTTATAGACCAATTTCATAGTTCAAGTTTTAGGACCAACACCCAAAAAAATAAATTCCGTTGAATGCATTAGGCTGATCTAGGGGTTTTACCTTAAAATTACTCGGGGAGGGATTAGTCTTAAAGTGCATGAAAGTTGGGTTAGGGACATCCTAACCGTAAATACAAATACAAAAATGTATTTTTGTTTGCAAGTTGCATAGTTATCAATGTCTATCAATGTCTAGCACATGGGATGTTGAATGTTGCAATGGTTTAAGAGCTTGAATGTTGCATGAACGATGAGAATAAGCTTAACGTACCTTAAATCTGTTTACAGGAGGAAAAAGCTCGTGCCCAAGTAGTTCGAGAAAAGAAAAGTCCTACCCTATCCATTCCCCTATAGGCTTGCCTAGTCCTACAATGTTTTTGCTGGCACATGTATTCCATGCAACAGTAATTGAATTAGTCTTTTTTTTTTTTTTACAGCAAACAATCTTGATAGTAAATTAAAATGAGTACAAGGGGTACTCAACCCTTTAAAAATTGATCATCCCATCTTACATTAGTCAAAAAGACTACTAGCAAAATCACTCCTGGTCCCGCAGTTATTTGATTGGTACCTTTCTTTTACTATAGCACTCTTTCAAGCATGCAACTGGATTCATTAACCAGTTTACAAGATTAAAAGCATACCTGTCATTTTTTGCTTTAACCCAAAAGAAGGATCTCAGCTAGATGAGCTCAAATAACTTTCTCGCATCAACCTTTTTGCCTTGGAATAGCTTTTGATTTCGGGCCAGCCACACCGACCACACCAAGGAATTCCAAATGCAATCCCATCCATCTTTTCAGCTTGTCTCTTTCGGTTCTCTTTTGAAATTCTGGAGAGTGTTCCAGCAGTCCTCTTCTAATGTGACATTAATCCCCCACCACTTTGCACAAGCCATCCATAACCATCGAGCCATCTTGCATTTTAAAAACATGTGTGTTGTGTCTTCCTCTTCTTCATTGCATATTCCACATTTGCCTTCTCCCGTGTCCTTAATGATCCCTCTTCTCAGCAGATTCATTTTGGTTGGTATTCTGTCTAGTAGTAATTGCCAGTTGAAAGCCAATATTTTGCTTGGTAGGATGGAGTTCCAGACCCTTGTGAATGTTGTACTTCTGTTTGCTTCACTCTCTTCTTTTGTTAAAAGTCTATTTGCTGATTTTGTTGTGTATTGGCCATCTTTGTCATGAATCAACTCCCATCTATCTGGGCTTCCTTGTGAGGTCTTCACGTCTCTTATCTTGCTCTGAAGTTCCATGGCCTCTTTCGCTTCCCACTCAAACAAATTTCTCCTCCACCGCAGATTCCATTCCCATGCTCCATTGCTTTTGCTTCCCATTTCGCTGCATGTATTATTTTTTCCTGTTGATAATAGATATAATCTAAGAAATTTGTTAGCGAGGCAGCCCTTTCCCCCCCAATTATCCCACCAAAAACTCACAGTTCTCCCCTCCCCGATATTAATCTTAAAACCCTCCTTCAACCAGCCATTGTTCTCCCTATCCATTGTGTTGATAGCGCTCACATCCCTCCACCATGTTGATCCTACTCCACTATTTTTAGCAATCCAATCTTGCCAACATCCCCTTCCCTTTTCGTACTTATCTACTGTTATTCTCTTCCACAAACCCTCCCCATTTTCAGCAAGTCGTCCCCACCATTTCCCCATCAATGCCAAGTTGAATTTTCATAAATCCCTCACTCCTAGTCCCCCTTCCTCTTTCTTTTT